TAAACCAAATTAGAACATACGTTTAATTTAAACTAATAGAATAAGCATAACCAAAATAAAACAATAAATAATAAAAAACCAAACTAACACAAAAAATTGAAAATAAAATACGGTGATTGGCCGTAAACACTAAGGAAGAATTCCTTATACATTAACCCAGATATCTATTGAGTCACGGCAGACGCATTATTACGCGTGTTACTTCTTATTATGTATTTCCAGGATGACGGTAACACTGTCGCATCCTTATAATTTAATAAGCTCTCGGCTTATGAACTCGATCGCGACTTTCCCATGCACAATATTCGGCAATATTTACAATTTAATTTCTAAAAACGATTCCTGGAACTTTGAAGTACAGAAAGTACTGTCCAAGTACAGTGGAACCCCGGTTAACGAACGTAATCCGTTCCGCGACTCCGTTCGTTAACTGAATTGTTCGTTAACCGAAGCAATTTTTCCCATAGAAATTAATGCAAATGCAATTAATCCGCTTTAGTCTCCGAAATTTTTGTCATTTTATTTGTAATATACAGTAATTTTCTTTGATGAAAATGTAGGAAAACGTAGTATCTATCATTACAGCAACAAACATGTAAGCTTTGTTTAATAAAATAGCACTGTACATACCTTCGTTTGTTGTAGTTGGTGGCAGAAAAGTGGAGATATACGAACCTTAATGCTTAGAAGGGGAATCCCCTCCAAAAAAATAACGGGTAGCATTTCATCAAAAGATTCTTCGAGTTGAAGTCTCTTTCGGTAAAAACCTGACCAGTGGCTAAGTGGTCTTCGTACCTTGAACACGGGGAGTTCGTTCGTGGGTTCGCACCTCGCTCAGACGGGCTGGCCACGTGGACTTTTCCGGGATTTCTCCACGTCTGTAACGCCTAAATAGGGGCCAGTTTCCTTTAAAAACACCTCCCAGAAGGCATTCTCCTTAGTCAGATCGCCCAAGTGTTGCGTTGCCATAACTTAACAAAGAAACAAACTCTTTCAGTAAGGAACAAGAAATTGATCTAAAGTTGATTGTATTACTCTTTTAATCAAAATTTTTCTCAAATGCGATAGCGCGTTGTCGTTTTCTATTGCCACTATGACGTTTTTCTTTCTTTGATGCCATATTGATTAAATATGTAAATCACAAAACTGAAAAAAGAAGTATAGCACAAACACTCGGAAAAGCAATGCTTAACTCGCGCATGCCTAACACCAACTAAAATTTGACACAAAATACCGTTACGTTCGTTATCCGAGACAAAATTTTTGCAAAATAAAAGTTCGTTAACCGATTTGGTCGTTAACCAGGACGTTCGTTAACCGGGGTTCCACTGTACTTTCTATTTCAGTCACCATTGTCATGCAATGAAGCATCTTTGGTTGTTTTTTGTCTTGATCGGAACATTGCAGATATTTCACTGCATGACATCAACAAAATTTGCTTGCGTTTTTGGATTTGTTTTTTCGTTTTATCTTTACGTTTATGTACCGAACAAAAGCGGATTTTTTACTAATTTTTGTGTGGCCTACAACTTTCTAATTGACATTTTTGGTCTCGGAGGCACGGTTTTAAAGATAATTTTTGAATGACTTTGAAAATGCCCTTCGTGATAGGATTCGCCACGCATCATAACATATACACTCATTCCTTATTTTGGCCTGTTATCATTCATAGAGACATTACATTACGTGTATCCAGATTTTTGACACTCTGTTTATGTACTGTATATATACAAAATAGCATGTATACATGAATATATATTTAGTCTACTATTTTTTTAATAGATGTGAAATATGTGCAATATTTTATTAAATATTATACAAATATTTGGATATACCATTGAATAATGATAGATATTGAAATTTTCATTGAAACAATTTTAAAAAATAATACTTAGAATAGCTTGTATATTATTCAATTTGCATGATGGGAGTCTGAAAAGAAATATTTGACAAAAGCATCTCTTTGTATTATACTGTATTTTATTTGTTAATATTATAAATTTTGACAAATAAAATTATTGTTGCTACTATAATAATACGTGAATCATTTTTAAATTTTAAACATTTTAATAATCGTTTAAAATTAAACTGTAATTCATAAAATATAATATTCAAATGCATTTTATCATATTGCAGTGGTATCCAAACTACCTCCCTGCATTAAATTCGGCTAGCAAACATATTTAATAAATCACTTATAAAGCTACTTTTCGTATATTTAGAATATTTAAATATTTGTGGCCCACCTAATTACCACTTATGAGCATTTTGGCTCACCATCACTGGCTTATTGTCTTAGAAAATGAGGAACATATAAAAGAATACAGGAATAGATAAGCATATATAAAGAATTTTCTCAAGTATAACATCAAACCTTAAAGGAAGCTTAAAATTGTTTACATTGAAACATTTTCGAGACATTACTTCAAACAATGTTTGATCCTCTGAAATTCAGCACAAGTCTTTAGTTCCTACCATTGAAAATGTGAGTAGGCTATTGTATATATTACTGTATATAAAAATTTACTTTCAATGTAAATATAATTCCAGACATAATATATTACAGTATTTATTTTACAGAAATTTTACTTCTTGCTGAATTGGCTTATATTTCCCAATTTTTTAATACTCATTAGCCAAGCTGCTGAATTTAACTGTCATTTGTTTTAAATTATTTATTTAACATCCGATTCTAAAAACATTAAAATTTCTATAATTAGATTAAGATTACTGTTAAATTTAGATTCTTTTGTCAACGTTAGAAACAGAAGTATTTATTAATATTGAAAAGAATATTTTTTATAACACTTCATTGCTTGTTTGGATTACGGCCATATATTAAACATATGTAAACATTTGTCTGAGAATTAAAAAAAACAAGCAGTTGGGTTCATTAATTTAAACAATTTTTCATACTGTGGATACGATTCAGGGCCACCAGCCAGAAATAGTTAAAAGTCTCTTGCAGATTTTGAAATAAATATTTTTTTAAACGAGAATTAAACTTGTTTATAATATATTTTATAGCAATTTAATATGCTCCAATTGTTGTAACTTGAAACTTGAATATCATTTTATCGAATTGATTTGTACAAGTCGACCCCCTATAACACTGTTGATTTTTCTGTTTTATATGAATTCCATGTTGTACGAGTCACTTAGATTTTACAAATACGTGTGCCGGGCTGTTTACAGCTCACGTATTTGTAAAATCTAAGTGATTCGTACAACATGGAATTCATATAAAACGGAAAAATCAAACAACAATAGTTTATATTCCTTGAATATAAAGATATACGTAAAATATCGCTACGAATATATTCTGAGAAAATTGTATTATTCTAATTATTAATTAAGTTATATCTTACTAATTGTTCTATCATCACTAGAGACGGATCTTTTGGGACCTAACAGAACTCTTAGGCTCAGAAGATTAAGGGCACCTCTACGTAATTTTACATCATAAACTAATAACGTCCAATTGTAGCTATAGAATTGTTTAGGATATTTTGAAAAGTTTTTTTTATTTATTCTATATTTTTACTCTAATTGCCATTAATAGAAATATATGGCATATCAACACGTTCGAACTTTTATATTGATAGTTTGAAAATGATAAACATAGTTATTTATAAAGATAAAATAAAATATTAATTAGTCAATCACTAAAATCTATAAATATCTCACTATAATGACAATTGTACGGTAAAATATATAGGAAGCTTTAAATAGCGAGAATAAAGTTCTTATTGTTTATACTATTTCATTAGGTTGTGTTCAACTTGAATTGCTATTAATACTTGTACTGATTGAAGTGTTTTGTATTATTAATTCTTAATAAACGTATCTAATTTCTTAAATAATAAGCTATAACCAAAGCGATTATTCGTCTCAATCTTTTAATAATGTAGGAACGAACAAAAATGTTTATTATATTATATTTTTTAGGCCGATAAATTATAAATAATTATATTATTAATGAATGAAAATATCTTTTATTTATCGTTAAATTTTTACAGGATTACAAGACACGCTATCAATATAATATTAATCATAACAATATTGATACATCTATGTGTTTTAAATCAGCATTTATAATGGCGTTACATTTTAAAAATTTGGGTGAATAAAGGATACTTATGTAGGATTGTGATGAACGGTTGTTTTCTCGTTATTCCTTCGATGCTGTCTTCCTAACCATCTCCATTTCCATACTCCAAATACTATAATGATAGCAGCCATTAAAAATATGATTGATGTAGCAGTAATCAGATAAGTTTCAATGGAGGGTGACGATAACGAATTGACTAGACTAGTTGTGACATTAACGTAACTGAAAGAAGTAGGAGTGAAAACATCCGTATCTGTTTCTTCTTTATTACGAAGATACATTGTAGAATGCGTAACATTTTCTTTAAAAGACGACGAATTTTTACTTTCGGTGTCTAACCTGTACTCGTTTTTCAAGAGTCTGCCACGTTCTACCAATATTTCGTTGGTCCAGATATTTTGATTGACACTTGCGTTCATTTCTCTTGGATTACCTTGGTTTAACAGGTATTGGTTATTCTGAGGTGTGTTCAACATATCGATATTTCGAAAATTATCGGTCGGTTCCGCTTCTGTTATATCTACGTATGGATTTTTGCCAGTTTTGGGATCAGTAAATATACTTATATGCTGTTTGTTGTAAGTGTCATTTTTCATATTTTCATTATCTTTCTCATTATTACGTTTAATTCTAGATAACGGCAAAAAACAATAATTTCTAACTATCAAAACTTCTATAGTGAAGAGGATAAAGAAGAATCGCATCCTACTGACCTACATATATAAAAATATATTAAGTCGTAAGTGTTTGTATTTAAAGTAAAAGTTTACAGAGAATCACTTACCAAACCTTTCGCTACTTTCTCTAATTACTGAATGAAGTTTATTTCGTGTCTTTCATTCTCTCGTTCCGGAGATGTTCTGGGGTGTGGTTTCACTCCTGTTTAGCACACCACACCCCTCAGTATTGTTATGACAACAACGATTCTTTTATTTCGCCTGCCAAGCTATACTAATGATTGAAATTCGACACCTTAAATATGCATGCATTTAATGATAGCTACTGGCTTGGCGTCATTCTACCATCTGTTTAGTTTCAATGATAACGGTCTAAGAAGTTAAGTTTTCCTGTTTCACTCGACATTTTGTCATCAAATCTCCTGTTATACACACACAATGTGTCTCTATGACATTCTGAAATTATATATAGCCGCATTTTTTTAACCTCTGATAAGAAATCGCTGGAGTTTCTAGAAGAGTTATTTTTTGTTTTTGTTTTCTGCTAACTGAAGTTAATTAAGAAACGCTTGACAAATGTCACAGTGTCAAGTTAGATTTAAGCCAGTTATTTCGCAATTGCTTGACTAAAACGACAGCACTGTTTGCTTTATCAAATACCGTATTAACTAATAATATCTTTTGATTTTTAAATATTTTCTCTACATTTCTAATAGCCGTCCATTCATTTATATCTTTACATTCGGTGCATTTCTATTCTTATTTAACATTCCCAATTAAACTTTAATTTCTCTATTTAAATTTAGAAATTGAGGAATAATCTGAAAACTCCGTAAAAAAAAATTAAATTTCGTATTTTTCCATTTTATCTATCTAATATCAAGATTAAATTAAAAAGTAATATAAATTGAATAATTAATTATCCTAGAGACTAGAAAGTTGTAACCCATTTTCACTTATTTTCTCTATAAGTACCTAATATATCATATTTATATACTTTAAGCGACAAGTGAAGCACATAAAATTCACTTAATGATGGATATCAAATATATTCTATGTTTATTTTTTATTACAACTCGTGAATACATATGTGTCATTAACGCCAATGCTTCAATTTTTTTTTTTTTTTTTTCATTTCTCATATCATCGAATTTCTAAGTACAATAATCTATAAATATAAAGCGCTATAATTGAGAAAATTAAGTAAAAATTCATCTTAAAAAATTTATATTTCTTGTATAAAATTAAATTTAAAATAAAGAAAAATTAAAATAATTATATCTTATTAATATTGAACATTTCGAGAAGAGTTTTTTAAGTTCCTCCACTCGATAATTTAAATAGATTATTTTTTTAATATGTTGATAAATATTCGTATTAACAATAGACTTTGTATATTTTTGACTGACCTATTTTTTACAAAATATAATTTTTATTTTTAAAATATTCAAATTAACGAAAGGATACGTGGTTATTATAGATTATATAATTCTGTCAAAGCCTAAAAATGTTTGTTAAAATTTCGTGAAATGTAGAAAATAATATTAGGTTCGATAATAAGATGAAGCACTTGTTAACATGTCGCTGGATACATTTTTATGTTCGCAAATAGTTATAAATAAGTCGCTGATTATTATTTTTTTACCGGTTGATCTTTAATTATTCTTATTATTCTTCGATATCCGTTGATGATCTTTTTCTTTTTAGGTAAATCTACTCAATAACATCAGTTACCGCACGAAAATAGCGAAGAATGCCACAAAACTAGTGATGCCGAAACACTATGATAGGATTTCTCACGGGAATTGATGAAATTTCAATGATATTTCACGTAGTCACTATATAATCTATAAGAAATGGATGAATATATATATACGTGTGTGTTCTGTCAATATTTTTTTATTATTTTTTAACACTGATTTCTATTACACTAGCATTGTCACAAGCAAGTCCGTTCAAAAGCACGAATTGAACGAAAATGAGTTGGAAATCGAAGCTGATGTACAGTATAATAAAAATTTGTAAGCACTTAATGCAACTCGTGAAATCTCTGTCGGATTAGGTCTAATTCCCAGATACCAACAGGACTTTGACTGGGTGAAAAATCTAGAAATAGATTTTGCAGTTTATTTCGAAAATTTACGAGTGATGGTTTGTCCGGATTTGTCGGGTTCGTCCCTCATCGTTCAGCAGTCTTACTGTGGGCCTGGCCGAATCTATAATGAGCCTACTAAAAATGCACTCTTAGTGCCCACAGGAAGGAAACAGTTAAATAAAACTCTAAATAAACCTCACGTGCCAGAGTATGAGCAGCTTATGGAAATTTACAGTCAGACCTACAATAAGTTGGCTGGATGATGAGGGACGAAGCCCAACAAATCCAGACGAACCACCACCCGAAAATTCACTGTCATCCCTAAAAATAAAGTTTAAATCTGTGCCAATGAATGACTTTTGGGTAGGACTGATACTAGTCAGTATTTGAACTATGCTTTCCTTCATGTCCATCTATCAAAGCGAATCAGGCTTTTCAACTTACACCGAAAACAAATTTAGGAGTAGGTTGGACACAGCCCGGATTTGCGTATTCAGCTATCGGACATAAAGCCAAATTTCAAAACTATTGTAAGTGCAAAAATGAAACAAGTTCCTTCATCATATTACATATAATTCCAATATTTTCTTGTACCAAAATAAAAGTTTGTGGTTACATCTAAAAATGTTCTCTCTTTTTTTCCAAATCTTCTACGTTATTCAAACAACTCAGACATTAGGAGTAGATGAAAGAAGGAAAAACGTTATGGGTTCATAATGCTCAGTAAAAATCAGGGATTGAGTTAAGGGTTTCACGGAGAAAGAAAAAAACAAACTCTTCTGAAGGGTTCCGTGACCGGAAAAGTTGGGAACCACTAACTTACAAAATAGTTTCAACGAATTTAAAGAATATATTACACGAAAGGAAATAGATGAAATTCGAAAATTTTATCAATGGACGCTACTAAAGACAATAATAACCAAATATTTAAAGAAATCGAGTACCTACCAGTGCTGTAGTCATACTAGAAGTGGGCATGTCCCTTTTTGCAATCAGCAATTCAATTTACATTTCTGAGTTTTAATCTCGACTGGTAGTGTAGACGTGCCAGAGCTATCTGAGCGCCGCTTCAAAACTTTTCGAACGCCAGAATTGCGTTCCAGGTCTGTTTTATTTATGACAATACTTTTAATCTCGACAAAACGTACACTTTGCAAATGCTGTACAAACAAGCTACTAAAAATTGGTAATTGTGGTCGTGGGTTCGCGCCTCGCCAACGAGCTGGCTACGTGGAGTTTCCGGATTTTCTTCACGTTTATAACACCTAAGTAGTGACCAGTTTCTCATAGAAAGTCTTCCAGGGAGGCAATCTCCCTCGACAGTTCGCCCACGTGTCGCGTTGCCAAAAACAAACCAAACAAAATACAAACAAAAACTAATTTGAACATCTTTCATATAATTTCACAACTCGCATTCTTTACTACACGTTACATTACATTCAATAACAATTATGTAATTAAATTACAGATGTAAAAGCTGTAGAATCTATACATTTCTTTCTAAGTTTTAAATACTTAAATATTAAGGCGTAAATTAAACGGTTTTATTAAAACTTAACCCATCATACAGAATTGTTAAACACTTAACACTGCACGTAAATTGTATTTAAATTCTTTTATATTGGGAATCTGAAGTATAATGCTGGATTATTGAATATAGTGCAGGAATAACTGAAGAGGAAATAGTTTTTTTTTTGTTTTCCTTCGTTGAAATTTGTTGGAAATTTATGTTAAGTATTGAACATTTATAAGTGAGTTTAATTGCGAAAGACATTGCTTCATCTTCACGTTAGTGTAAGGAGTGTATGTCAATGATTTTGGGTAATACTTTTGCATATTGTCATCTCTGCAATCACAGATCTGGAAAGTGTGTTTAATAATATTAACTGTTCCACTAATATTATATTTAATATAGTCTATATCCATTCTACAAAAGTAATTGCCGAAAGGAGATAATTTGAGGTGTGCCTTTAAATAATCTATCAAATATAGTATATTAATTTGTAAAATTATAACGTAAAATATTATTAGAATATAAGCTTGTATACTAATTCAAATTTGCAATTATTAATTTTTAATTATTATTGATATTAAACGAAAAGGTTTAGGAATTAGGCTACTTATTCCGATCTTTCTTTGTGCCGTGAGGAAGAAATGTCAAAATAAAATTCGATTTTGAAGCAACACGAACCAGGAAATGACATTCTTATAAGATAAAAGATGGTGTACATATGCGTATTATCAGAATTTAGAATTGATCTCTCCTAACTCGCGACGAGTCTATTCTCCGAGTGGATAAAGATATATTTTAAACGTCACCGGATTTCTAGGAGGGTATGCATTCGAACATTTCTACTGTAACGTGAGCCGACGATGGAGTTAGGCACTAACTTAATCAAATAGACAATTTAGAAAATAACTATATATTTATTCTACGAAATTACAATTAAAGATAATTACATATAAATGATGACCAGGTCGGACTTATCATATTTAATTGTCGGTCGGATTTATCATACATGATAAGTCCGACCGACAATTAATTATACGAGGATATCAAATCCAAAACCTCTAATTCTATCCTGAGAAAGAGAGTTTATATAAAATGGTTATATTTTCTGACGTTCATACATAATTGACAGGGAGAGACGAATAGTTCATGGGATCACATACTTGAAGTCCTGGGAGGATGATTACTAATCCGTTAGACACTCGGCAAGGGCGCCAAAACGGGAACAATGGCTAAAGCCTCGATGGTACTAAAGAGCAAGACTAAAAGCAAGACTAGAGCATGCAGTGGCGTAGCGAGGGGGTGCAAGGGGGTGTATCATGCACCGGGCGCCACTCGCAGAGGGGCGCCCAAATGGTCTCCAAGACAAACTATATGTGTTTATGGAGGGGGAGAGGGGGCGTTAAATAAAGTGTCGTGTCCCGGGCGCCAGTCATGTTCGCTACGCCACTGAGAGCATGTAGTGACCTTTACTCTTTTATACAAAATTCATCAGGAGAGCCATGCTTCCATTAAGAGAAGGAAGTCGGGCGGTTGTGCGATTGTGCAGATAGTTCGAACGGGTTACCGCTCTCGAACTATTGTTTTGGGAGGAACTGTGACCTTCTCCCTGAGTCAGAGGAAGTCAAAGACTGATAATTTTTTCATAAAGTTTAAATTTTAAAATAATATTTTAACAAATATTTCTCCTAAATCCCAGATTCTCACATAATACAAGAGTGGAAGTTTCTTTAATTCCATTCACTTCGTGTTTGTTTAATTCCATAAACATTCTCTCGTAGTCGTACTTTTCTAGAACAATATACGGTGTAAATGCTTGTTTTTCGAAAAGCATTTTTTCTAAATCTTCCAATTTATGAAACAAGGAAAAGATGTCTCCTCTGGTCACAAAAATTCATTGTGAACTTCAATTAAGTGACGTTTATAGTCTTCTGTCAGTAAAATCTTGATAATTCTAAAGTTGTAATTTTCAGTTTCTTCACACAAATGATAAGCTTAATATTCTTTCCTTTCTTGAAATATTTCTTCAGAATGTTCCTTATTTTCGGTATCCGATATTGTACAAAGTTGTCTCTTATCGAAACCAGATATAAAGTTTTCATTCATTGGTTCAGGGATCATTGTAGCGAAATTTCGATAACCAAAGCTTCATTTATACAAGTATTATCACATGTGAAACGTTGCGTAAGTAAACAGATATTCTCTTCTCGAAACTAGTATCTGTTACCAAAGCTTGTAATATTTTTATTGTTAGAAGTAACTAGAATAAGTAATCGGAAATAATAATGTGTGTCTTACTTCTTACAAGTTAGTATTGGTGACAATCACCCGTCTGGTCTAAGTGGAAGAAAAACTTTCCTGGAGATATGAGGGTGAAGGGAAGTGCGGGGACTCTAGGAAAATGAGTGAAGTTGTGCGAAGTCTACGCGTAGAGAGTGAAGGGGTATTGCAGCGGCCTGGAATCGAAAATATGTACTTAATAAGAGATGGAACTTAAGCGGTGATTTGGGAATGGATCGCGGAAGACTGCCGGAGAAATTTCTAGACTCGACGATGCCATGATTTTTGGGAACCATTGCTAATAGACTCGCCAGCTCCGTCACTAGTTGTACTATTGATAATTAATTAATTTAAGATCCCCTACTTTGTCGGTGCTGCGCGTTATAACAGAGCTCTCATACCGTCTCGAATACCGTCTCGACCGTTTCGTAAGGAAAGCGGACAGTCCGCACTTTTTCGCGGACAGTCCGCTTTTCGCTATGTTTGGCATGTGACTGTTTTCTCGCCAATGTTTCTAATTTCTGTTTTCTAATTTATTTTGACGGCCGGATGGCCGAGCGGCCAAGGTGGCAGCCTACCGCTCTGGGGGATCCGGGATCAAATCCGGACGGGTCAAGGAATCCCCAGGAATTTTTCGGGGGTGGTCCGTTCGGATATGTCGAGTCCCGTCCCTCACCACCCGGTCGCCCCATTGTGGGCCTGGCCGAACCCATAATCGGCCTGCTATAAGAAGCCCTCTTAGTGCTCACAGGGCGGAAAGAGTAAAAAAAAATCTCATATCATATTTAACAATTTATTTTACCATTTCTGTAGCCTATTTTATAACGAATTTGTTCTTTTTTCCCGTCACAAATGATTATAAATGCTTTAATAAATATAAATATAATAAATATTTTAATTTTTTTAAATTTATTTNGCTACCTTTTTTTAGTTTGGCGTAAAAAAATCATTTGGCTTATTGGCAACATTTCGGGCTACATTGTTACATTAATTATTTCATAGTTTGCTTCGGCCTAAAGCGGCAATAGCTATATCTACTCGTGTCGTACACATAATTTTACAGTTTATTTATAAGTAGTTTTTTTTTATTTTTAGCTCTTTCCGCCCTGTGAGTAGTAGGAGGTCCTCTTTTTTGCAAGCCCATTATGCCATTATGGGTACGTCCAGGCCCAAATTGGGGCGACTGGCTGGTGAAAGACGTGGCCCGACATATTCGGTCGGACCATCCCCGAAAAATTTCTGGGGTTTATTCGACCCGTCCGGATTCGGTCCCGTGTCCCCAGGGCAGTAGACTACCACTTTGGCCGCTCGGCCATCCGGTCTTATTTAGTAGTAAAAGGGGCAAAATATTTTCGAATATAAAGAAATCTCTTAGTCAACTTTTAATTTAAATAATTCTAGTTTGATATGTCCTTTGGAATACTGTAGTAGCAAATTATTAGCTACGAGTATTAAGAATATTACAGAAGAAAATTAATTTTTATAATCCGTCTCGGAGATATCATTTGTTTCCTAATTCGTTGCGTTCTTTGCATATAAAATAGGAGTGTTCTCGACAGCAGTGAACTACATTTTATGCATGTATTTGTCTTGGTATCCTTATTTGCCGATCAATTTGCAAGCCCAATCTGTAAATTGGGCCGAAAACATTTGATTCTATGATATAACTGGTAAAGTACGAAAGGTGTGTTCGGGATGTTATCGTCAAATCTTAAGTTATTTGTTTAAAAAANGGAAGAACAGCCGAGACGAGGAACTGTAGAGAACTACCAGGAAATTCGGGTACCCTCTGTCCTTTAATTCATCTTATTTCCCCTTTCTATCTTTTCTATCTCCTAGTTTATTTTAGTTTTAAGTTAGTTTAAGTTTCCGCGCGCAACTACTTTTGTCAAGAGATAGTTATCGGAAAAGTAACTACCAGTATATTGGTATATCCGGTCGCTCGGGATTTTGGAACGTTTGTAAGTAACAGCGGGAATCCGAACTCATTTTGTAAATATATTAATGTTAGCGCGAAATTAAACTTGTTTCATTGGAAAAACGTGTCTGTGTTTTCCTGTCCGCGCTATACATCTTCACACTATTCTTAGTCCAATGTTTGGCTTTATGTAGATTATTAGGTAGAGTTGTTTGACTACTGACTGTGAGTTGGGATTCAGAGTTTTTTGTAACGAATGACACCAGTGTCAAAAAATGCCTAACGACTCAGTCGACCCAAAGTGCTTTCACTCAAACAATTAATCATAGCTGCAATTTTTGAAAAATTGGACGATGTATATATTTCTTGCTCAGTGGATTTATCTTTTAACACATGATAGTCATATAAAAATAAATTTCTGTCTTAACTACAACGATACTTCTTGATCAATCACATTACATATTTGATTTTCTAAAAAAGTTTTGTCAAATGTTATGCCATCCTGTGCATCAGGACGACAAACCCGATTTGACTCTCATCTAGACATTAACTAATTTCTTTTCTATACAGTACATTATAGAAGTTACTTTTAGGTATATATTGTCTACTTAGACCTTGTTTATTAATAGGACTTATTACTGGTATAGTTTCTGATTAGCAGAGATGAACTCTTAGTCAAAAGGAAAACCTTTGACTAAGACTTTCTCTCTTTGCTAATCAGAAACTATACCAGTAATAAGTCCTATTAATAAACAAGGTCTAAGTAGACAATATATACATATTAATTAAAACAATAATTGACATAGAAATAAAAATAATTACTTTTAGGTAATTTGTGCATACATACTTAAATATATAAAGTACTTAAAATTAACTTCTACCCGTTATAAGATTACTATGTTATGTTGATTATAACATTTATAACAAAACATAATGTCTGATAACGAAATAATCCCAAAATTTTATTAAATTAATGGATTACCTTTCAATCAAATTTTGTATATATAAGAAAGACAGTTAAATAGATACAAATGCAGATCTGAATGTTTCCTATGCGACGATTTTAGTTTAACAGTCATACAATTCCCGGAGTTGTAAAACAATATATTATATAACTCATCAATGTTGCCAGATGTTTTTAGCTTTTGTAGACAAAAACTTTTTTAAAAAGTAGCCAACTCAAAAATAAATAATAATAATAATACTGTAATATATATTTGAGTTGGCTACTTTTTATTTATAAATATTTATAAAATATTTATTTAAAAAAAATATATATATATATATATATATATATTTTTTTTAAATAAATATTTTATAAATATTTATAAATAAAAAGTAGCCAACTCAAATATATATTACAGTATTATTATTATTATTTATTTTTGAGTTGGCTACTTTTTAAAAAAGTTTTTGTCTACAAAAGCTAAAAACATCTGGCAACATTGATGAGTTATATAATATATTGTTTTACAACTCCGGGAATTGTATGACTGTTAAACTAAAATCGTCGCATAGGAAACATTCAGATCTGCATTTGTATCTATTTAACTGTCTTTCTTATATATACAAAATTTGATTGAAAGGTAATCCATTAATTTAATAAAATTTTGGGATTATTTCGTTATCAGACATTATGTTTTGTTATAAATGTTATAATCAACATAACATAGTAATCTTATAACGGGTAGAAGTTAATTTTAAGTACTTTATATATTTAAGTATGTATGCACAAATTACCTAAAAGTAATTATTTTTATTTCTATGTCAATTATTGTTTTAATTAATATGTATATATTGTCTACTTAGACCTTGTTTATTAATAGGACTTATTACTGGTATAGTTTCTGATTAGCAAAGAGAGAAAGTCTTAGTCAAAGGTTTTCCTTTTGACTAAGAGTTCATCTCTGCTAATCAGAAACTATACCAGTAATAAGTCCTATTAATAAACAAGGTCTAAGTAGACAATATATACCTAAAAGTAACTTCTATAATGTACTGTATAGAAAAGAAATTAGTTAATGTCTAGATGAGAGTCAAATCGGGTTTGTCGTCCTGATGCACAGGATGGCATAACATTTGACAAAACTTTTTTAGAAAATCAAATATGTAATGTGATTGATCAAGAAGTATCGTTGTAGTTAAGACAGAAATTTATTTTTATATGACTATCATGTGTTAAAAGATAAATCCACTGAGCAAGAAATATATACATCGTCCAATTTTTCAAAAATTGCAGCTATGATTAATTGTTTGAGTGAAAGCACTTTGGGTCGACTGAGTCGTTAGGCATTTTTTGACACTGGTGTCATTCGTTACAAAAAACTCTGAATCCCAACTCACAGTCAGTAGTCAAACAACTCTACCTAATAATCTACATAAAGCCAAACATTGGACTAAGAATAGTGTGAAGATGTATAGCGCGGACAGGAAAACACAGACACGTTTTTCCAATGAAACAAGTTTAATTTCGCGCTAACATTAATATATTTACAAAATGAGTTCGGATTCCCGCTGTTACTTACAAACGTTCCAAAATCCCGAGCGACCGGATATACCAATATACTGGTAGTTACTTTTCCGATAACTATCTCTTGACAAAAGTAGTTGCGCGCGGAAACTTAAACTAACTTAAAACTAAAATAAACTAGGAGATAGAAAAGATAGAAAGGGGAAATAAGATGAATTAAAGGACAGAGGGTACCCGAATTTCCTGGTAGTTCTCTACAGTTCCTCGTCTCGGCTGTTCTTCCTTTTAGAACCGTTTCGGTCCGTTTCGGCATTGTCTTATAATAGTAATGAGAAGTTGGAAGAAATGTTGAATCTGTTCAGTAAAGAGACAAAAAGTTGCTAGGGTATGAAAAAAAGAGCTCAGTATTTTCTTCCATGTTCAAAAAACATGGAAGAAAAGTCTATTTATAATTTCTAATATTTAATTTTTCATTTTAGTTTTCACTAAAAGCCGAATACTAATTTTACATTTACTTTGTATCATGTATTTTGGTTTATGTATTCTTAGTGTTAGTCTTAGTTTCCATAGGAGTGGTACACTTATTCTAATAAAAAAAAAAAAGAGAGAGAGAAACCATCACACTGTCTTTCTCCCATGAAAAAAACATGTAGAGCATGAGTCTGCTAGCGTTATTATTTTATCACGTCACACGAGATGGCTTTAGTACAACAAGCGTTCTTAATAGAAACAGCCAAATTGAAGTCAAATTCAAAACTCCATCACTCAATGAGATCAAAAAATAAGAATATTACATAAGACAAGATGTATTACCCCTACCCCTGAGTAAGAAATCCTTGACCCCCACCCACCCCAAAATACCTTACGTAATTTATGGATGACCCCTTATCCTTATATTATTTTTAATTTTAAGTATTTTGTTTTACAATGTTTTTTACAATTAATATTGATTTACAATTGTCATTTAAGTTCTTAAAAATGTATCTTATAGTACCATAATGTGGTGATTTCTAGTAACTGCGAACAAATCAAAAGGCGAGATAAGATTAACAAGAACATCATTTATTAACTTACATCCAACTTGGATCTTACACAAAAGACATCTACTATCATGAACAATTGACAAAATAAAGTATACATTTATCAGACAATAGACAAAGACTCAGTTTATAAACAATTTACCTTTTGTACATACAACTGACACTCAATCCAGAGCGGTCTTTCAATGACCGGACATAAAAAATGAACAGATGACACTTAACTTAAGCGCGGTTTACAAAACGAATATGATTAATCTTAACACTCCTCCTTAATCATATTATAGCGTAACTTTTCAAATATTACACGATTCAAAGGTTTTGTTAATATGTCGGCAAGCTGATCAGTGATTTTAATATGTTGCAGTTCAACAGTTGTGCCAATATGCTGCTGAATAAATTTTCTCTGAATCTCAATATGCTTTTTACCCTTGGTTATCTTTCCTTGGTGAGCGTTTTTAAGCATGTGAATTGCTGACTGATTGTCAACAAGTAACAAAGTGGGTTCATCGTTCTTTAATAATCTCAATTCAATTCCTATTCTTCGTACCCAGCAGATATCGTCGATAGATGAAACTGCTGCACGATACTCGGCTTCAGCGGTTGAGTTCGCCACAAAACGCTGCTTTCTTGAATACCATACAATTGGACCTCCTCTCATGATAAGAACTCCACTTGTAGAATGTAGACTATTGGCGTCTCCTTTGTAATCTGCATCTGTATATGCTATCAATTTCAGATCTTGGTTAAAAAATATTCCAAAATGTGTAGTTCCTCTCAGATACTGAAAAATTCTTTTAATCATCTTCCAGTGACTTGTCAAGGGTCGATTACTGAATCTACTCAGGTAATTGACAGCGTAGCTTATATCTGGACAGGAGATTGTTGCTAAATAAAGCAAGCTTCCGATGGCTTCGAGATAACGATTTTGTTTTTCTAGTGGCTGGTCATTGACAAGGTTTTCAGAATTCGTTTTCATTCCTGGCTCCATCGGTGTATTCACGGCGTTCACTCAGTCATACCTAAATCATTTCAAGATCTTTTCTGTGTAATCAGGTTGACTCACAAAAATTCCTTCAGATGATACTTTGATCTTCATACCTAAGTATGTCATATGTGATTGTAAAGTTCTTTTATAAGTAATTTCAAACTTGTCATTCAGTAACTTCAAAATCTTGAAAATATCCTCCTCATTTTGGGCGGCAATGAACCCGTCGTCTATGACCAATACTATTATCACACTTCTGTCGTTATAATAAATGCATGGGTCGTCGTCTGTATTAACGAATCCTATCGTAAGAAAAAAGTCAGAGATTTTGTCGTTCCAATCTTTGATGGCATGTTTTAAACCGTACAGACTCTTTTCAAGCTTGCAAACTTTTCTGTCCCATCAGAGAATTCTTCTGGCTGGTTCATATATATTTCTTCTTTGAGATTGGCATGTAGGTAAGCAGTCTTAACATCAAAAACTGTTACTTTCATTTTACTGGATGCTGCATGACCGAGCACGAGTCTGATAGATGCGTGTCTGGCTACAGAACTGAAGGTGTGTGAATAATCTATGCCCTGCCTTTGCTCAAATCCCCTTACAACAAGTCTAGCTTTCATCCTGCCATCCTGTTTATGATGTAACACCCATCAGCATGTCAGAGATCTCACATATCAGGCTGTCATACTCATTCTGCATAGCCTTGTACCATCCTTTGTCCTCCAAAGCTTCCTTAACTGAAATATTCTGTTTCTCCTATCATCGCATGGTTGTGAATAAGTCCCATCTCATAATTGCTGAATCTGGTTGGTGCTTTTAGTTTTTGGCGATCTTGTAAACTTTGTTGAATTTCCTCTGGCAGTCCTGGTCCTTCATCAGTTTCTTCTGGGGTGATGTGTCATGAATGATTCTGTGAACATCTATCATCTGAATCCTTTACGGTTTCGTTTTCAGTTTCGGATTCTTCTATCTTCTCTTCTGTTTCCTTTTCCTTTATGTAGGTCTCGACTTTGGCAGTGCTTCCTTTAGTTTCAGACTTTTCATTGAAAATCACATTGTCAGTGCAGACGACTTCCTTCTCATCTGGCAAGTAGACTCTATAACAGGGTGAATCGAGACAATATCCGACGAAGATTCCTTTCATAGACTTTCTCTCCATCTTTCTCCTTTTATGATCTTCAATCAATATATAACACTCGCAGCCGAAACTTTTCAATTATGAGATGTTTACCATACATCCAAACCAAAGTTTGGCAGGACTTTTATCATCTACAGAGCTCTTTCCTGTTTGATTAATGGTGAACACAGCATAGTTAATAGCTTCAGCCCAAAGATTTTCGCTTAAGTTCCTGGCATGTAAAACAGATCGAGCTGATTCCACTATTGTGTGCATCTCCCTTTCTATTCATCCATTTTGCTGCGGTATGTACGTGTTTGTCCTAGTATGTAAAACTTCAAGCTCCTTCAATAACTCTCTGGTAGTAGAATTTTTGATTTCTGTCCTGTTGTCAGACCTTAGACTTTTCACTTTTCTTCCAAGTTGGTTTTCAACTAGTTTCATGTATTTACCCAATGCTGCAGGGGCTTCATCCTTGGTTCGTAAAAAATAAACAGTCCTAAAATGAGAAAAGTCATCCTTGAATAGGAGAAAATATCTTGCCTTTTCCAAAGATAAAGTGTCCATTTCACCTAAGTCAACATGTCAAGATCTAATACTTCCTTCGCTACCTTGTTATTTCTTGGGTGAGAGATATGATGTTGTTTGCCATAGACACAACCAATACAAACGTGGTTGTCCCAGTCATCAATATATCTTATATTGTTTCTGTCCAAAATACTCTTGCAGTACTTCACATTCTGATGTGCCAGACTTTGATTGAGTTGGCTATCATGCACATTCCTGTGTCCTCTCTGCGGAACATCATTTGATATAATTCTTCAAGTCGTTGTGCTACTACTATTTGCTCCTTTCTATCGGCCGTTTCGATAATTGACGTGTTTGCATTGGCAGTCTGAATAAACCCTTTATCCAACATTTGGGTAACCGAAAATAGATTGAATGATATATTAGGAACATATAAAACGTCTTTTAGGGTTACTTGATACCATTCCCTTCCATTAAAAGCCTTGAGTTTGATGTCACCTACTCCAATCCCATGGATTTCTGTGTTGTTCCCGAGTATCACCTTCGTATACTCCTCCAGCGCTTTGTAGTTTGTCAGCCATTCTTTCCTGAAGGTCATGTGCTGTGTGGCGGCACTATCTTGATACCAAATATCCTGTCAATTTCGTCTTGAGTTCTTGTCATTTATTTTCGTTGATGTCAATCCTACTAAAAGTGACAAGAGCTCGTCGTCGTCCTTTGGTCATATCTCCTTTGTTTGTGACTTCTTAATTATACATTCCCTTGCGAAATGGCCTTTTTGAATTCAGTTGTTACAATTATAAGTTTTCCTGCAATACTCCAAATATTTCTGACACGGCTTATTCTTGCAATATTTCTTTGTGTGTCCCTTTTGTCCAAATTTTAAACACTCGACTCTTGAACTTTTCTACTGACTTTTGTCCTTGTTACCTTGTATTTTCTGCTTTGAAATGAGGGCATTCTGTGCTGTTGTTTCCTTCTTGTCATCTTCTTCCAGTCGAAGTCATTCAATTAAGGTGTCAATGTTCTTGTCTGTTGAATTAGCATTATCCCATGATGTCCTGAAGTGGTATAGTTTCGGTGGCAGTATTCCGAGCATTCTTGTCATAATCCAGCTTTCTTTAATTGTTTCTCTTTCAGCTTTTAAGTCCTCTGCATGTTGTTGAACTGATAAGCAATTCTCCACTACAATTTGCTTGAATCATACTTATAATTAAAAAAATTTCTCTGTAACCCTTCAATTGTGAGATCGGACCTTTTACCATACAAGGTTTCTAATTTGTATATCATACTATATGCAGAAGTGCAATTTGCAATTTTCTTTGCGATATTACTGCTCACATTTAAACCTATACAAGCTTGAGCATCTAAATCCTTTTTAATCCATGCTGCGACATCTGCCACATTATTCGCATCTTTAGGTTTAAGGATAATTCCGTTTGCAACATCATACAAATCCTTCAATCTCAGTGTAAGATTTAGTTTAAACTTCCATGAAATATAATTAATATTTCCCTGCGAATCTTCTGACAAAGTTTCCATTTGAGATTTCACAATAAACATACTGACAAACTAGCGTAATTTACTGACTTAATTAGTTTTGTATCTTATCTAAATACACTTACGGTGATGATGGGTCGCAATTCACGATCATTTACAAACACTGACGAGGTTGACCGACAATTGAAGCTCGTCAAAGATGGCGATTGCAGACGATGAACGAAGGTATGGCTGACATGTTTCTCGACACAACTTGTGGCTCTCAATTTATGCCTTTTCCTTTCTCTCAGACAAATTCGACTGTTGAGATTCGTTCATGGGTCCTGGGCCCATAACCTGTGGTTATTTCTAGTAACTGCGAACAAATCAAAAGGCGAGATAAGATTAACAAGAACATTTATTAGCTTACATCCGACTTGGATCTTACACAAAAGACATCTGCTATCATGAACAATTGACAAAATAAAGTATACATTTATCAGACAATAGACAAAGACTCAGTTTGTAAACAATTTACCTTTTGTATATACAACTGACACTCGATCCAGAGCAGTCTTTCAATGACCAGACATAAAAAATGAACAGATGATGCATAGCTTAAGCGCGGTTTACAAAACGAATATGATTAATCTTAACACATAATTTGGAGTGAATAGAAACGAAAGTAGAAAATTTTGTACATGCTTAACAAAGAAAGTAATCAACAAATCAGGACATTATTTTTGAAAGTACAGACATTATTTTGTTAGGTTTGTAACACTGTTCTAGGTGCCAATCTCAATTGCACATTATAGTGGTTGGATACATTATAAGACTCCCTTTATTAAAAAATTGCATTAAGGTATTGTTTTAGTAGCATTTCATTACATTTTCATTTAAATCTCTCATATTTTAAATGAGGCATTGATCTCTTTTTCCAATGTAATGATTTTGAATTCATAGGGTGATTGGAAACATAACAAAAATGGCTATTTCTATTTGTCCCATGAAACTTTTCAGTGCCAGTGGTTTAAAATTTGAAGAAGTCTTAAGACCTAGCTCTGAAGTAGCTAAATAGATGTTAGTGTTTCCATATTGGTCTTAATTTTTCCTGATGACTTCAGTGAATTGATTACAGTAGAGCGTCGATTTTCCGAATCAATTGGGGACTGGGGTTGTCCGGATAACTGATATTTCGGATAACTGATTTACGTACGAAAAAATAGTTTAACGTATCTGATTTCAAAATTTTTCTCCGTTGCGTGTCGCTTTGCGTTGAATTTTCGTTGATGTTAAGCCTAACAAAGACTATTGTATCGTTAAAATTTATTTTTTTATTTTGTACAAACAAAATAAATATATTGAAAAATATAAAAACAATAAAAAATTATACTTCAGAAGTTAATTTAGTATCAAAAACGTAAAATATTTGAGTAGCCCAAGACATAGCCAAAGATTGAAGCGCCACAGCACTGGCGAAAATTTAAATTTGCCAACTGGAATTCTTTCGGATGATCGACTTTCGGAAAATCGACACTCTACTGTATTTGTTAAAAACTATTCATTTTAATTTATTTAATCAGTTTTTCAAACTACCCAAGCAATTTAGAGTAGTTTTTTTATAAAAACTTTTTTCTTTCTTTAATGGACATAATATAAGGCCTAAGTACTGTACATAATAGACCTTTATGCAAAGAAAATGCATTTCTTTTTACCCCTTTAATTGTGAAATAGAAACAAACATGACTTAAATTACTGTTTCTTTTTATCCCATTGGTAGAGGTGAAAAGAAACATCAAGTCAAAAATGAAAAACAAGGAATCTGATTACTTCAAATATTACTTACTGAAGATGTTAAGTAGGATAAGATTGATTTTTTTTTAAAAGACAAGTTAGGAGATAAGAATATTAATTAACGCTATTGGAATTACATAATCATTTAGACAGATAGGTGTTCACCCCAAATTACAGCAAATAATTTATAAGATAAGACACAAAAAGTGAATCAACGGACATTAAATTTATGGTTCTGCAGCTCTGAAATTACATGTCCACAATGAAATCTAGCTGTAAAAATGTATAGTTATTATTATTAATATAATTTATGACAATGATTAAATTTTTGGACTTCATTAGACTTTATATTTTTCAGATATAGAAGAAAATGAATGATGATAAAAATTTAGCAGCAAAAAAAATCAGAGATGATATGCCAGTAGAGTTAGAAAGTCAGTTTGTTTTACGTTTACCCTCAACACCAGCAGCTTCGTTACGAGCTGCAGTGAGATCGGGCGTAATGAATTTGAAAGACAGATTAACAGTTCAGTTAGAACCAGATATGAGGCATGGTATGGTACGGTTTGACAAATGGATATTGCCATCTAAAGTAGTAGATTTACCTTGTATTATAGAATGCCACAAAACCTTAGACAGAAAAACATTTTATAAAACAGCAGATATATGTCAGATGATGATCTGTAAAGAAGAGGAGGACGTGCAAGAGCCCGAAAATGAATCTCCCAAAAAAAGTGACAAAAGAGATAGAAAATATTTATGGCCTCATGGAATTACTCCACCATTAAAAAATGCCAGAAAAAATAGATTTAGAAAGACATTGAGGAAGAAAAATGTGGATTTTCCAGAGATAGAGAAAGAAGTTAAACGCTTGTTACAAGCCGACAATGAAGCAGTCAGCGTATGCTATAAGATAGTAAATGCCGACGAGAAGAATGAAAATAAAGTGGAAAATTCAGACTATGGTAATGGCACCGTATTGTTAAACAATCCTCCTGCTACTGGTGATGAAAATTCACAAAGTTGCAGTGTTACAGAACATGATATATTTGGTGAAGCTTTAAGCTGCTCAGAAGATGAAGAAATCACAGAAAGCAAAATGTAATTTCAAATAATGATGCTAAAAGAAATTAACTTTTTATATTAAAAAAAAAAAATACTACTGGCATTTCAAATGCATGAAATTAACAATTACCATTTATTATTTGTATTTATTTTATACAAAGCTTTTATGCTTAATTTGAATTTAAATAAGCATTTTAATCCCCTATAACACTGTTAATAATTCCGTTTTATAAAAATTCCATGTATGAGTCAATTAGATTTTACAAATACGTGTGCCGGGCTGTGAATGGCTCATGTATTTGTAAAATCTAATTGACTGTACAACATGGAATTCTTGTAAAACGGAATTATCATCAGTGTTATAGGGGGGTCAACTATAATTTGTAAATCCATCCCATATGTTCCACAATTAGTTTCAAAAAATAAATTATGTATTTTAATGCAAAAGCAACATATTTATAAATTTACATAAAATTCAATGTAAAAATTTTTGGAATATATAGTAATATATTATTTTTGAAGCAATTAGTTATGTTCTATATTGTGTGAACTCACTGACAATGGATAGATGCATTTTCAATGATTAATAAAAGTCCTATGGCTAGTTTGATACTTCTACAACTTGAGATGCTTTGTCTCCATTATGAAGGTTCATTGAGCATTCCAGTTTGATCTGCCCATCTTCAAAGTAATTTAGTTTCTGAATATGCTTGTCTGAAAATAGAAAATATATTTGGAATAAAGTTTTTAGTCTATAATTTTTCTTTTGACAGAAAAAAACCTGTTTTTTTTCCTCTTGAAATTTATTGAATAATAATAATTTCTTCAGCTTCTCAAATGTTTCTCTGTTGAAAAATGTTGATTTAAATAAAACAGTTAATCTCTTGATTTAGCCCGTAAAAGAAAATCATATAGAATTTTAAAATCTTGAAATTCTTTACAAAAATGCCTGGTGTATGAAATATATAATTATAAATCACATTTTCCGTTTAGCTCTGTCAAGTAACTCTCTCATTTCGTTTGTGACAGCTACTTTGGACACCTGAGGGGGTGGTTGCTATCTGTTATCATCGTTCTCCGTTCAGAAAAATTATAGAATCCATGTTAATTTATTTGTACAGAAATGAGGCGAACTGTTTTCTGTATTATGCCGAGCGTAGACTTGTCAGTTCTATGAACAGAATATATGATTGTTCTACTGCTGGTTGTGAGACATCAACTTGAGTTTATCGAACTTAAAAACCGACGACTATAATTTTTTTATTTCAGTTTATTTTTTAAGCGATTGTTTTTGTGCAGAGTCTGCATTAATTTATGTATTAAGTACCAGTACATTTGATGAATAATTTGACTTGCTCATACTGTTCCTAGGTGATCAGTTGAACTTGGACAACGAAGTAAAATGCAAAGTGCACGATTTCGTGCCCGTGAATAAATTTTGTTTTTCTTAATAAATCTATTTATTTTTACAGAAATTAAGAAAAAAATCTTCGTACTACATCAAAAAGTAAAACGTAGATTAATCAATTTAATATTTACTTAATAAGATATGAAATTTGGGTTAATGATGATCGGTTAAACCATAATCTTACATAGATTTATGTCTTTTTAAATTAAAAATTCTGAATGGAAACCTCGACCCAGAACGGTTTGCAACTTCTGCACAAATTAATAATATAGCTCGAAAAGTAATCAATAAGATTACGTTTTATTTTTCCTATCAATTTGAGTTTTGGTACATTATACAGGATGTTCCAGAAAGACCGTGCCAGGCCTGTATCTCTGGTCCTAATAAAAAGTAAAAATATGAAACTTTGTAAATACTAAAGGTAAAAGCCGTTTTTGAACACTATTTTTATAATTTGACTTTTGAAACGCGATCATCATTAATAGGGGCGGCCAAATATCTATAGCACTCGGGCAGCTAACAGTCCAACACCGGTCCTGGTAAGAGAGATATAGACATTACAGCAGTACATTCAAGAAATCCTGTCCTCGTGTTGCTTTTTATGACAGCTGCTGCCAGCAAGATAATGCTCGGATGCACACAGCTAGGGTTACCTAACATCATTTCCGTCACCTTGACGCAATTTTTTTGTCTTGCTGTGTCCAGATTTGTTGCCCATCGAACATTTCTGGGACCAGATGGGACGCTAGCTTCGGCCATCTACTAGTGTGAGAGATCTGGAGTAGAAGTTGCAAGATTTCTGAGCAAATTTGTCGCAGCATAACATACGGTGCCGTATGCCTCCATCCTCGACCGCTTCGCTGCATGTGTCCAGGCAAGAGGAGGTCCTACAAAAGATACTAAAGGTTTCCTTAAATTGTACCGTTTTTCCACAGGAAAGTGTTAGACTGGATGTTGCTTTTCGGAGATTAGGAAAACTCTTAAACTCGCGTAACTGGTTACGTGACAAAGGAACAAACAGTGTCGTAACTAGGCAGGTGCAACAGGTGCACCCGCACAGGGCTTACTTGGAAGGGGGCCCAAAATGCATGTATTAGTTTTATTACTTTCCGAAACCTAATTAAGGGGCTTAAATGCATTCTTGCACAGGTCACAGGAATGGCTAGTTACGGCACTGGGAACAAAGATTAACACCGACTTGACTCGTGGAAGGTCAGCGCTGAAAAGGGGAGAGTAAAACGAGGTTACGGTCATCAATGGTTCCTTGAGGGGTCGATAGCGCTACCAACCTTTTATTGCTTTTATTTGAGTGGAACATTTCCCCACTGCTGGCGTGCTGGTCTACGCCAGCAGTGGGGAAATGTTCCACTCAAATAGTATAAGTGGATTTAAAGCACTCGCCATTAGTCCTCCATACTCGAACACCATGGTAGTCTTTTTCCAAACAGAATCAAGATTCGTCGATAAAGAGGATACGCTGCCAATCTGTAGCAGTCCATCCATCGCTATCACGGTACCCCTACAAACGATGCCGACGATATTGGAGTGCTAATGGCAGGACGCGGAGAAGGTTCTGTAGCGAAGCTTCCACTACTCTGCATCCCAAGTAGTAAAACTATATCTGGCCGATTTTCCAATTAATAAAATGCCGACTGCGAACAACATCGGTTTGTCATTGGCATCCAATGTACAGCTGATGCATATTCCCACTTCGCCGGAGGGATTTTTTAATCCCACCCATCATGAGTCTGGCCAGGCCAACAAGGACTATGAGGAACGAGCCAGATTACCTCACAAATTTCTGAAGTTTTTCGATCGCTTGGATTTGATTTAACTTAGTGTTATAAGTTTATTTCGAGAAACAAGAAACGGTAGTTAAATGAGTGTTGAAACACAATCCACAGACACCGAAAGGTGGGTGGAGATATAGACGCGTTTCTTCGTATATTAAAGAAATATTCACAAAGGTTAAAAAATGTCTCTCAAACTATGAAGGATATTATTATATAGAATTTGCTAAAATGAATTTTTATGGTCGTTTCAAAGAAATTTGTGGGCTTCGCGACTTTTTCTATAAAATATGATAAAACGGGTTCGTAAGAAAGTACGTGAATAAAAGAAAGAATAATTTTCGCAAAAACGTTAAAACAAAAGAAATCGAAATTCAACGACACTGCCAATCCAAACACAATAATTAATTCGTAATTGGGTTGCAATTTAAAAAAAAATTGTAGACCTATAAAATGATCACTGTTGTCCATCTGTCTTTCTTTAATCTCGAGAACGGAATTAGATAAATGAAATCCGAAACCAGATATGAAAACCTTAGAGGCAGGAGGTCCCGATTAACTTAAATCAATTTGCAAATCGGAAGTCACTTTATTTCGATTCAAAAATTTTCCCTTGAAACGAGTCAGATAGATGACCGGCACGACTCTGTTGTTAAAGGAAAAGTATGATGTACAGGGTCAAGCCGCTGCTAATTTGAAGTGGAGAGCATATAAATTAAAAATTGCATCCGGGCATTGTGACGATGTCACAATAAATAATTACTCGTTATGTATAGAACACAGTATACTGTATATTGAATAGATCAGCAAGAATATGTATCATCAATAACATTATCAATGTGTTATTTTAAGTCTACAATTTAAAAAATAAAAATAAATAAATAAATAAACTGTTTTAAATTAATTATTATTATTATTATTTTATTAACAAAAATTCAAAAATTGTTTATGTATTTATCTTTGGTAAACTACGTGCCGAAACTAATATAATTCACAGAATGCTCATGAGATTTTTATCTTTATAATACGTATTTTATTTCACTTTTTTTTTTTTTTAACTTTTTTACGAATTGACAAAATCATTCTTTTATAAATGAGCTTGAATAATAATAAAATTTCCGTTTGTAAATCGTAAATGAAAAATATTTAGAAGAGAACGAAAATATATTTTTTTGCATATATTCACTCGTTACGCTTTTTATGATTTTATTTATAAATAATCATTACCACTACGTGGCGTTGTATATTCGGGCGCGATTTACGGAAGATGGCGGATAACCGAGATGAATCTGAGTCAAAAGTATTGGTTAATGTACATACAGATGATAGCGGAATTACTATGCTGGACGTTTTAGAGGAAGAGCAAGAATTAGAAGAAGATGCTAATGCAGTATTAGGAGGCAGTGATGATCAAAATTGCACATATTCCCAAGTACGTATTACAATAAAGGACGATTTAATGTCCATTAATTCATTCTCGTTTGAACCACAATGAAATGTTCGATGATTTTAATTAAACGAACTAAAGTTCAACATAAGATTTGTAACTTTGAGCTTCGGTCGAAGTTTCAAATCGTATGACGTCATTGTATTAGAAAAATTGAGATTTTTAAACTTATTTAATTTAAATAAAATAAAATAAATACAGAAATAAACATCAAACGAAATTACAATTTAACAAATCTAGTGAAAAGTAAAAAAAAATATCACATACACTTGGAATTCCATTTGATGTTTATGTTAAATATAACAAACCTAGTGAAGAATTAAGCAGAAATAAATAATGTATAAAGAAACATCTATAAAAGAATATGGGGATAAAATGGTAACGTCACACGATCTTAAAAGAATGAAACTTTCAAATTTTCTCTTCTGTTTTACATTAGCAAGACTTTTATTAATAGAGTACCAGATAGAGCAGTCTGTTTAAGTGAATACCTTGGTGGTATTTTTGAGTAACAGTTCACATAGATTTGATGATAAAATACATCACTTAACTCGCTCCAAAAGACACTTGAATGATCAGTGTCGTATAGTAGCTGTGAATTGTAAAGAGCTTCAACAAAACTTTGTAACTTGTGTTGTTGAGTTTCAGGTGTCTTGCAGTAATAAGTCGAAAAATGGTTGGATTTATATTATGTCGGATAGCTTTCATTGGTGTCTCAGATAATAATTACTGTATATTCATATAGTTTCCTGGTTTGTAAAGAATGATTTGTAGAAGTATATCAGAAGTTACAAATAAGTGAAAACTGTCGCATATATAAAAACATTGTTGATTTCAACATTTTTCCAGGTTGGAGAACAACTAGCTGGTATGTGTAAAGTATTTTTATAATATTAATGTAACAAATTTCTTTTGCCAAGGTGGATGGAAGACTGTAGATCTGTCATTATACTCAAATCTTTATCGTCCTTTTAAAATTCAAAAGTGATTATATTATCTGGAACATCTGATAACTCTGATTTGTGCCAGACTCATCAATTTTCTTCTTCAACATTGTCAAATAAAGTTGGTTTGTCATCACTAAGATCATATGTAATTTTCTAAAGTTCTTAATCAAACAAAACATTCTAACAATTGAGGTAGATGTAATATCAAATAAATGTTTCCAGTTACTTGCTACAAATACTTATGTAATTTTGCAGCAACTAACTTGAAACTTTAGTAATTCACTAACAGCAAGAAGTAGCATCTTCAAACAACAATTGGACTCTGCAACTTTCAAAAATTAAGTTATCTTTTGATAATTTTATGCATTATTATTTTGAATTTTTAATGATCTGATATCTTTCATTATATTTATTATTTGATACCTTGAGAAAAGGTTAAATACCTTCTTGTAAGGATACTGGAAAAATATATCAATAACTCACAAAACCTTTGAATATCCAGTAAAATTATTTAATTGAAATAACAAATGTTTTCTGCATATGGTAATGTCATGTATGCATCCATGGCAATGCACATGCACAACGTTCTAATGTTTTTAAATTTGTTGCACAGAACTGTTCTTAGAATCTCAGCATTTGTAAACCAATGAAGACCGAATATTAAGGTCAAAAATGTTTATTTCAATTACATAATTTTACTGGATATTCAAAGGTTTTGTGAGTTATTGTTATTTGATACTTTTTAATTGGAAAAATTTATTTAATAATTTATCATCATCACATTATCTAGAGAAAAAAATAATGTGAAGAAATTAATTGTGAAGTCAATGAAACATAGGCTGTGATCATGTATGCTGTTTTGAGTGGACAGTACTGTTTTTTGCTTTGTCCTGGCTATCCTGCCATTTTAGTAAACTTTTCATTTTTGTCCTGTTTTTTTAAAAACAGGACAAAAATAAAAAATAGCTTTTCTAGTTTGTATATTATAATATGAACTTTGTAATTTGTTAGAAAATATTTTGACTCATCTGTCAGCTATATTGATTTTTTTTTATCTTCATTTCATTTCTTAAAGTGTTTTATTATTATTATCTTTATTAGTGCCCATTGATCAAATAATTGAATTTCATGTTTCTGTTTGTGTAATATGTTCTTTAAATTCGCTAAAACTATTCTTTTTCTTGCTATCCAGGAATCTTTGTAGCAGTATCCATTCAAATGAATGATTCTTATCAAAGCAGAATATACTTTGAGAAATGGAATGAAGAAAAAAATCCAATATAGCTGTCAAAAATATTTATTCAAATGAATTCAAAGGATCTTGAATTCAAAGATTTTAATAATTTGATAGAATTAATGAATTTTTTTAAGTTTAATTTGCTTAACAATAGTCAGTTTAATTTTTAAAAATAATTATCCACTACTGATGCTTTAACCTTGTTTAGTCATCATTTAATTTCATCTTTGAATTACTCAGACATGTTTTTAATTGTATTTATAACATTTGATTCTGTAGATTTGAATGCTTTAAAGCAAGGATGGGCAACCCGCCGCCCTCGGGCTGTATGTGGCCCGAGGGTGGCGGGTTGCCCATCCTTGCGGGTTGCCCAGTAATATTTTTTGCAGCCTGCGTAAAATATGAATAAATATATCAATTTTCCAGCTTAAGGAAGTATGCAGCAAAAATTCAAATGTTATTTTCTACAACTTATATATGTAAATAGTTTTTCCACAACGAATTTCATAAAAATTAAAACAAGAAACAGGCTAACAGACACATCGAAACTAATTTAAAGCTAGCAGTGACTAATATTTAACCAAATATTTCCAATATATTACATTTAAATCAGTTCCAGAAGCTAAATTAAGTATACCTATACTAATTTATAATTATATATGAATAAATAATTGTGATTTACCGACATGTTTTTCCTTTTTTCTCTTGTATGTGGCCCTTACATAGAAAAAGGTTGCCCATCCCTGCTTTAAAGGATAAACTTTGTGCTTTTAGGCTAAGATAGTGTCCTCTGGACAACTATGTACTGGATTACCTTCAAAATCATAATCATGCAATAAGGATTGATGATGATTATGGATTTTTTTTATATTACATATTGATCTTCCCCAGGGATTGATGTTGGGACCTTTTTACTTTTCAATATTTTTATTAATGATATTTTTAATTTTGCTTCAAGGCAGTCTTTACTCTTGTATGTGGACAATATTCTGTCCACTTACAAGAGTAAATTCTGTCTGTTTCTGGTAAAAATAAACTATATAATTTAAATAATTTGCTTAGATTATTGAACCTTTACTTTAAAATGAATAAACTCTGATGAACAAGATTAATTATTTTTATTTGCAAAAACTTTGTAGTTTTTGCAAATAAAAATAGACAATATATTAAAGATTTTAACTTGGTTATTGATGATCAAAAAATAAATATTTCACATAAGTAACTTATTTTTTTGATTATATAGATCAAAATTTGACCAATTTATAATAATAATTTAATTAAATTTAAATAATTTTAGAATTACTGGAAAAAAAGAATTGGCCCTAAGCAGTGCCTAACTCTAATACTAAATTGTCTATCAAAATTTGACTTTATCAACTTGTAAATTATTTGGTTGTCTTTTTTTATCACAATTTTAACTTTTATATTAATTCTTCAGTTTTAAAATATCTTTATAAAACAATATTCATATCAATATTTGGGAAAATGCCTCACAATATGTTCTACATAGATTATAACAATTTCAAAAAATTTCTAAGAATACTTTTTGATGTGGATGCTTATTCTTTGCTTATTCATCTGTACTCTCAAGCAAAAATGAATACAATAAAAATATTATAACGAGATCACTTTATTACTTGCAAAGTACAGTAGACCCCCTATAACGCGTAGATACGTTCCTCGTTATACGAATTTTGCGTTGTAGGAATCCTTAAATACATGAGCCAATCGCAGCCCGACATGTGTGAAGTTTACAGACTACAGATGTTTGAAAGGTTTTCTTCCATAAAATTAATCAATTCTAGACTAATTCGACTTAACATTTCCAAAATACATATAATTTTTTGAGAATAATCCGTATAAACTATGCTATAAACAAAAAATTGTAGGATTACTTACCGAGTGTGCACTGCTCGACGTCGCTATTGCTTAAGCTTGTGTTCATCGTGGAGCAGCGCACCAAATGGCGGCTGCAATTTCTGATGTTATTTTTCTGCAAAAAAATCGTTGAACTTTGGAGACATCATTAATAGAAATGATTTTTATGGCCGTTGAATAAGAAATGTTTCTTTCACAAGAAATGTATAAAATTACAGTGCTGTATTAGACTTACAGTACCTAATTTACATACTGTACAGACGATAGTAAACTCAACTTACTCGCTTAAACTCTCCGTAGCGTGGTGCTGGACGGCGGAAAGTATATATAATTATAATAAAGTTACTATAAATTAAGTTAATATATAATTATATATACAGTACCTAATTTATATATAATACTGTACAGACGATAGTAAACTCAACTTACACGCCTAAACGCTCCATAGCATGGCGCTGGACGGCAGAAAGTAGTTCGGCTGCTCGTCTGCGATGATGTTTTACGCGTCCCTTTTAGTGTCTTTATACGAATACTGTCACAGTTTTTTCGCCACGTTGTAGGAACCCGCATTATAGGGGGGTCTACTGTAATGACTACATAACAGTGTCTCTATCAATGACATATATTTACTGTATAATAATTATAGATTTGACAGGTTTAATGACATACAAACAAGATTTTTATCCTACCAAAATGCAAATTGAATATTGATGAGTTTTTATCAATTAACTCTTTCATTTTGATTTGGAACTGTGCCAAACCATTTAAAAGAAATGGATAATTTTCAAAATCATCTTGGGCTTGTCAATATTAATTTTGATGCAATACTTAGTGTAATTGAGTATTGTTTGTTTGTTCTTGCATTTATTTATTTATTTATGTATTTATTATGTGTTTTGTGTTTTAATTTATCTTATTTGTAT